GGGCGCCACCACCTGTCACACACAGAGCAGGGCCGATCAGGGGGTTGGGACACCACACCCTGTCACACACAGAGCCTCAGGGCGATCAGGGGGTTTGGGCGCTGCACCCTGTCACGCTGATCTGGTGCCAGGAGGCCTCGCGGCTCCGCTGATCCCGGTGCTGGGAGGCATATTACCCTTTTACTATATAGGATAGAGGCCTGGGGGCCGGCTGGTTTGCCCTGAAGGGTGTCCTGGATCAGGGTGGGGGTCCCCACTGGGGTGCCTGGCCAGCCTGGATGAGGGGATGATGGCTGTTTGCAGCTGGTCACACACCCTTCAGGGTGGGGGTCCCCACTGGGGTGCCTGGCCAGTCTGGGTGAGGGGCTGAGGGCTGCCTTAAGGCTGGCGGTTTTGACTGAAGCTCCCAACCACTCCTTTTTTTCTTTTTCTTTTTTTTCTTCTGGGCCAGCTTTAGCTCTGGCTCTAGCTCTGAGGCTTCCGCTGCTGGTTTGTTTGCCGTTCTATAATCGAAACAATGTATAACTTCAGCTCTGAGATCCCAGCCGGCTATATTTGTTATAAAGTTTCAAACTGCCAGCTCAGAGGCCTGCAAGTCAGGCGGGGAACATTGGAGTCTGCAGTTACTGGAGCAAGGAAGCCTCATGTTCGCTTCCAACTGCCTGGCTGCCGGCCGCCATCTTGGCTGACAGTTAATTTGCATAAGGATATGCTGATTAGCCAATGGGAAGGGTAGCGGTCATACGCCAATTACCATGTTTCTCTTTTATTAGTGTAGATGAGGCCTTTTTTTTTCAATTAATCTTCACCAGAGGATATTTTTCCATTTATTTTTAGGGAGAGTGGGAGAGAGAGGGAAAGACAGAGAGAAACATCAATGTGAGAGAAACACATCAATTGGTTGTGTCCTTCACGAGCCCTGACCAGGGCCCGGGCTGGGGAGGAGCCTGCAACCAAGGAACGTGCCCATGATCGGAATTGAACTTGGGACCCTTTGGTCTGCAAATTGACGCTCTATCCACTGAGCCAAACCAGCTAGGGCTGTCTTTGGTATTTTAATAGGAATTGTGTTGAAGCTATAGATTACTTTGTGTTGTATGGATATTTTAATTATGCTCGTTCTTCCAATCCATGAACACCGTAAATGCTTCCATTTGTTTGTTTTTTCCTTTATTTCTTTTGTCAATGTCCTGTTGTTTTTCGAGTACAGGTGTTTTACCTCCTTGGTTTAGTTTATTCTTAGGTATCTCATTTTTTTGTTGCAGTCGTAAATGGGGTTATCTTTTTAGTTTCTCTTTCTGAGAGTGCATTACTGGTGTATAAAAATGCCATTGATTTCTAGATGTTAATTTTGTATCCTGCTACTTTGCCAAATTCATTTATTAAATCTAGTATTTTTTGGTGGAGTGTTTGGGTTTTCTATGTATAATAGCCTGACATCTTCGAGGAATGACAGTTTTATTTCCTTCTTTCCAATTTGGATGACTTTTTCTTCTTGTCTGATTTCTTTTTTCATCTCATTGATAACCCATTCATCATTTAATAACATGCTATTTAGCCTCCATGTGTTTGAATATTTATTAATGTTTTTGTTGTCGATTTCTATTTTCATGCCATTGTGATCTGAGAAGATGCTTGATATGATTTTAGTCTTCTTAAACTTGTAAAGACTTATTTTGTGTTCCAACATGTGGTCTGTTTTGAGAATGTTCCATGTGCACTTGAGGAGAATGTATATTCTGCAGCTTTGGGATGAAATGTTCTGTAAATATCAATTAAATCCATCTGATCTAGTGTGTTGTATAAGGACATTGTTTACTTGTTGACTTTTTGTTTGGAAGATCTATCCAGTATGTCAGTGGGGTGTTAAAGTCCCCTAATATGTCTATTGTTGTGGCATTTATTTTTATGGGCATGACACTGAGTGGTGTTTTGAAGATATGATATGAATGTTTTTGTTTTCTAGCTGGTTTAGGTGAATTCCGAATTCGTGACCTGAATGATGAAATTAACAAATTGCTAAGAGAGAAAGGACACTGGGAGGTCCGGATAAAGGAGCTGGGTGGTCCTGATTATGTAGTAAGTAAGCAGCAGTCCCTGTGGCTGTTTGGAATGAGCTTGTGAGATTTTGGGTGGGCTGGATAGGGCCTGAATAGGAGCCTGCAGCTCCCAGCCTGTGCCTGCTAGAGGGCAAGCACTCAAGACATGAAAGAAGGCTTGAAAAAGTGCCTGTTGGCCCTAGCCAGTTTGGCTCAATGGACAGAGCGTCAGCCTACGGACTGAAGGGTCCCTGGTTCTGTTCCAGTCATGGGTACATGTGTGGATTGCAGGCTTGATCCCCAGGAGGCAGCCAATCAATGATTCTCTCATCAGTGATATTTCAATCTCTCTCCCTCTCCCTTCCTATCTGAAATCAATAAAAATAAATATTTTGAAAAAAGGTACCTGTTGCATGTGGACAGGAAACCTATGAAAAGGATAGATCGGATAATGTTTAAAGACTCCACAGAACAAGGCTCAGATCAGATAGGATACCTACAGATACCAGCCAGATGTTCCTGAGTAAGCCCCTTGATTTCTCTGGGCCTTGTTTAAAATGACCATGACCCTGCCCAACTGGCATGGCTCAGTGTTTGAGCGTTGACCCATGAACCAGGTCACGGTTCAATTCCTGGTCAGGCCACATGCCCAAGTTGCAGGCTCAATCCCCAGTGGGGGGGAGTGCAGGAGGCAGCCGATCAATGATTCTCTTATCATTGATGCTGAGCCCCAGTGTGGCGGGTGGTGGCCGACTCTGCCACTGAGGTTAGAGTCCGTTCCCTGGTGTGTTGATTTTTCTCCCAGCTGCTGCCTAATCGATGAAAAGAGTTATTACAATGGATGGTGGTGATGATTACATGACATTATGAATGTATTTATTATCAGTTTTATGTAGGCATAAGAATGCTTAAGATGGTAAATTTTTTTTTCCTCATCCAAGGATATGTGAGGGTGGGGAGAGGGAGGGATGGAGAGAGAGAGAGAGAGAAAAAAAAAGAAACATCAATGTATGAGAGAGAATCACATTAATCGGTTCCCATATGTGCCCCCACCGGGAATTAAAATGCTAACCTTTCCGTCCACGGAATAACGCTACAGCCAATTGAGCCACACTGACCAGGGTGATGGTAAATTTTATGATATGTGTATTTTTCCACAATAAAAAAAGAAAAGTATAAAGTTCAGAAAAGTATAAAGAAGCAGAACAACACTTAGTTGTCTGCAATACTTGAATATTTCCTTTTTTTGTAATCCTGCTTTTTTCTTTGATCGTCACCTGAGGATGTGTATAATAATAAAAGCCTAATATGCTAATTAGACCAGAAGTCCTTCTGGATGACCTTCTGGACGAAGCTGGGGCTTCGAGGGAAGCCCAGGTCCTGGGTGCCTGCCCGCAGCTGGAGGGAAGCCTGGGTCCCAGGTGCCTGAGGGAAGCTGGTGCTGGCAGCCGGGGGAAGGAAGGCCTATCCTTGCACGAATTTCGTGCAAGGACCTTGGTCCCAGCCCCTGCCCGCCATGGCCGGGGGCCTCTGTGGCCTCTGCTTTGGCCCCTGTCCACCACCGCCGTGGCCGAGGGCCTCTGCCACCTCTGCTGTGGCCCCCGCCTACTGTGGCTTTGTCTGGAAGGAAGGACATCCGGAAGGACATTAGGTCTAATTAGCATATTACCCTTTTATTATTATAGTTTTTTTTTATTTAGAGAGAGAGAAGGGAGGCAGGGAAAGAGGGAGAGAGAGAGAAGTATCCATGTGAGAAAGAAATATCATTTGGTTGCCTTCCATACCTGGCTTGACTAGGGACCGAACCCACAACCTGGGTTTGTGCCCTGACCAGAAATTGAACCCCACTACGTTTCCATATATGGGAGAACACTCAACCAACTTTTAGATATTTAGATGGATTTTTAAAGGATAAAAAGGTGCCTAATTATTTTTCTGTGTACATAAATATTTTCTCTTTTTCTTTGCCATTAAGAAAGTTGGCCCTAAAATGCTGGATCATGAGGGCAAAGAAGTCCCGGGAAATCGAGGTTACAAATACTTTGGAGCAGCAAAAGATTTGCCTGGTGTTAGAGAGCTATTTGAAAAAGAACGTAAGTAATTAATATTTGTGTGGGTTTTGGCCTCAAATTTTTTTTAAACATTACAAATAGACTTTTACTTGTCACCATTGAAGTAAGTCTGAATTTTAACCCTTTGAGTGCTAACCAATATCCTAGGAACTGTGCTGAAATTGCCAAGGCATTTTTGCTGATTTTACAGCAGTTTAGGAAAAAAATTATGAATCGCAAGTGAATGAAGTTACATATTCAAAAACTTAAGGAAACCTTTACTACATTTGTTTTCATCTTTGGCATATGTTGTTTGCTGATTGTATTATAAAATACTAGTAGAAAAAAAAATTTGAACAAAGCATATAATGTTAAAATAGAGGGGCACCCTTCTCCAGTATCTTCCACAAAATTGTCATCTTCACAGCAAGAATTGACATATTTAGCAATATCATCATCACTAATAAAAGCAGACTTAGAACTGGACGCCATTTCGAAGCTTTAGGGCTGCAAAATCTGAGTAAACTTCATAAAATCGTAGTACCTGTAAAAGATTAGGCAGATAAATGCCAGTGGTCAATTTTAGAACTACAGACATTCAACATCATAAGTAATCTGCACTTAGGTGCCATCTGTCAATAAAGAGTGAACTACTAGCCTCTAATAGTGACACTGCAGGAGGAGCGCAATAGCGCTCCCGGCACTTTTGGTGAAAGACAGGAGGAGCGCGATCGCGGTTAAACAGATTCTTGGACTGGGGGCTCATATCCATTAGCTCACTTCACTTTCAGAGCCTGTCTCATCCCTAGTGGCTTTGCCAGAACTGCTACCTTCACCATGAAGCTTCATGAGTTTTCTCAATTCAAACTTGTGCTTCTTCAGCATTTTTACTTTTCTGACAAAGACATCATGGAGCAGACAAATAGATTGGCAAGACTTTTCTATGTCTTTTCCAATGCTATCTGGAATCAATTTTTTGACTACTTCTTTCAGGTCATTTGTACCTCTTGGGTCATGATTTTCATCTTTTTCCAGATTTGGCAGACTGTTGATACTGAGCCTAAGAAGTCTTTTGAACCTGATTGCTGTGTTTTTTAGTAAAGCCAACACAGAATAGATGAATTAAATAACTGTCAGTAGTCTTGATATCAACATGAGCTTTAATCATGGGCTACTATTTTTTGAATATGGAACACATTTTGTCACAGGTTAAGATCAATGTCATGAAAATTGGGCAGTTTTTGCCCTGAGTATCCTCAGTAATTAGCTTTAATTTTCTAAATACAACTTCATCATTCTCAGATAAGTTAGGCTCACTTCAAAAACACGACCCTTAAGACCATCAGGTGCAATTTGGGTTTCTTGAGTCCTGTGACTAGTGTTTTTCTAATATTTTTTACATTGAACATAACTCGTACTTTCACATCATACCAATCTTTCTCAGAAAACAGATCAACCACTTTCTCATTGGCTCCCTTTTTGCCACTTTCTGATGCTGCTCAGAGAACCAAAAATACTAGCCTTGAATTTATTGGTAATCATCATAACAGTAGATATGCTATATGCTGGGTGCTTCTCCTATATTACTTCTTAGCTGCACAGCAGCCCAGTAGTATCAGAATTATTGTTCCCAGGTTTTTAACAAGAACCTTTAAGCACTAGGAAATGAAGTTACAGACCCAGGATACACAATTGGGGCTGAAAAGTACCTAGAAATGACTAGTGCCAAATTCCACACTCTGCACATACTAGACTCTTATTCTGAAATGTCCCAAAATTACAAGGCAGGATTTTAATTGAATTGGATTCATATTTCACTTACCTATTATTTGGGGGGGGAACCCCCAAAAAACCGACAAGTAAGACCGTGGGCCTAACCACAATAGGTAAAGATAGAGAAAAATCAAGCTGCTCTGTGTCAATCCAAGCCAGGCACCCTTATTTCTCCTGTCCTTTCATGGCCCTGGGAAACTTCAGTCAAACCTTGGCCTTTCACAATGGAAACCACTGGTCTGGAGTTTTCGTGCACAGGCATACACTGGAGATATTACAGGTTCAGTTCCAGACCACAGCAATAAAGCAAATATCTCAGTAAAGAGAGTTATGAATATATTGGTTTCCCAGTGTATATAAAGTTGTTTACACTATACTGTAATCTATTAAGTTTGCAATAATAGCATTATGCTAACATATAATGTACACACCTTAATTTAAAAATATTTTATTGCTAAAAAATGTTAACCATCACCTGACCCTTTAGTGAGTAATCATCTTTTTGCTGATGGAGGGTCTTTCCTTGATGTTTATGGCTGATGACTCATCAGGTTGGTAGTTCCTAAAGACGGGTGGCTTTGGCAATTTCTTAATAAAACAACAGTGAACTTTGCCTCATTGTTTCACTCTTCCTTTCATGAATGATTCTCTGTAGCATGCCTTGGTGTTTGATAGTATTTTACACACAGTAGAATTTATTTCAAAATTGGAGTCATACACACACACACACACACACACACACACAATTGGAGTCAGTCCTCTCCAACCTCTCACTACTTTATCAAGTGTATGTAATATTGTAAACCCTTTGTTGTCATTTCAACACTCTCCACGGCATCTTCATCTTCTATCCACTGAGCCAAACTGGCCAGGGCTTCTATTCCATCTCAAGTAACCACTTTCCTTGCTGATCCATAAGAAGCAACTCCTCATCCATTCAAGTTTTATCATGAGGTTGCAGAATTCAGTCCCATCTTCAGGCTCCACTTGTAATTCTAGCTCTCTTGCTGTTTCCACCACATTTACAGTTACATCCTTGACTAGAGTCTTAGACCCCTCAAAGTCATCCATCAGGGTTGGAATCAGCTTCTTCCAAATTCTGGTTAATGTTTATATTTTGACCTTCTCATGAATCATGGATGTTCTTAATGAAATGTAGAATGGTGACTCCTTTTCAGAAGATATTTCATTTATTTGCCCAGATCCATCAAAGGAATCACTATTTATGGCAGCTATCGCCTTACAAAATATATTTCTTAAAGAATAAGACTTAAAAGTTAAAATTACTCTTTGATCCATGTGCTTCAGAATGGATGATGTGTTAGCAGACATGAAAACAACATTAATTTCATACATCTCGTGGGTGACCAGCTGCATTGTAATGAGCAGTAATATTTAGAAAGGAATCGTTTTTTTCTGAGCAGTAGGTCTCAACAGGAGCTTAAAGTATTCAGTAAACCATGTTGTAAGCAGATGTGCTGTCATGCAGGTTTTTTGCCCCATTTATAGACAGGCAGAGTAAATTTAGCATAATTCTTTTTTAATTGATTTATTTTTATTTTTATTTTTTATTTTTAGAGAAAGATGGGGGTAGGGAGAGGGATAGAGAAACAGAAACATCAATGAGAGAAACATCAATCGACTGGCTCCTGCATATCCCCTGCTGGGGATAGAGCACATAACCTGGGCATGTGCCCTGACTGGAATCAAATCAGTAACCTCTTGGTGCATGGGTCAGTGCTCAACCACTGAACCAAACTGGCTGGGCTAGTTTTATTTCTTTTATTACTAATGAAATTGATAATTAAATTCAGTTATTAATTGACATTTGTATACTTATGAATTTTTTTCTTCTTAAATTATCAGCTTTATTCTTTGACCAATCTGTTGGGTTATCATTTCTCTCCTCCACAACCCCAAATTTGTATTTATTGATTTTAAGGAGAGAGAGAGAGAGAGAGAAACATCGATTTATTGTTTCACTTATTGATGCATTCATTGCTTGATTCTTGTATATGCCCTGACCAGGGATTGAATCCATAACCTTGCATATTGGATGACACTCTAATCAACTGAGTTACCCAGCCAGGGTGTCATTTCCCTTTTGATTTTCAAGAATTATTTAAATATTCTGAATAGTAATCCTAAGTCTGAAAATATTTTCTTCAGGTCTTTCTCACTTATCTGTTTTGTTTTTTTATAGTTTCTTTTGTGTTTTTTATATACTTATGTTTTCCCCTAATGTTTTTTTTTTTTCGTGTTTTTGGTTATTTTTTTTCATTAAACATTATGGCATTTTCTGTTATCAAAGCACCTTGTGAAAAACAGTATTATTGGGGCTGGAGGCTACCCCATCTCATACACATTCTGCAATTAATTATTCTAAGATATTCTCAATTTTCATTGTTATATAAATAATGCTGTGATGTACATCTCTGTCCATAAAGCTTTGCCAGCTTTTGTTGTTGTTTTTTAATTAGGATAGATTCTTTTTTTCTCTTCTCTCTCTCTCTCTCTCTCTTTAATATATATTTTTATTGATTTTTTACAGAGAGGAAAGGAGAGGGACAGAGAGCTAGAAACATCGACGAGAGAGAAACATCGATCAGCTGCCTCATGCACATTCCCCAACTGGGGATGTGCCCGCAACCAAGGTACATGCCCTTGACTGGAATCGAACCTGGGACCCTTGAGTCCACAGGCCGATGCTCTATCCACTGAGCCAAACCGGCCAGAGCCTCTTTTTTGTTGTTGTTGTTAATCCTCACCTGAGAATATTTTCCCATTGATTTTTACTTTATTTATTTTTTTAAATTTTTTTATTGATGTCAGAGAGGAAGGAAGAGGGAGAGAGAGATAGAAACATCAATGATGAGAGAGAGTCATTGATTGGCTGCCTCCCAGATGCCCCCCACTGGGGACCGAGCCAACATCGGGCACGTGCCCTCAACCAGAACCAAACCCAGGACCCTTCAGTCTGCAGTCTGATATTCTATCCACTGAGCCAAACTGGCCAGAGCTTCTATTGATTTTTAGAGAGAGTGTAAAGGAGGGGGAGAGACAAAGAGAAACATCAATGAGAGAGAGAGAGAGACACATCGATTGGTTGCCTCCCGCATGCACCCCTACTGGGCCAGCTGGGGGTCAAGCCTGCAACCAAAGTATGTGCCCTTGACTGGAATCGAACCCGTGGCTCTTTGGTCCATGGGCCAATGCTTACTAATCCAATGAGACAAACCAGCAAGGACAGGATAAATTCTTTTTAAATGGACTAATTGGGTGAACGGTTTCAACACTGATGGATAGTACCACTTATATAATCCAATTACTAGTGTAAAGAAATGTCTTTCATATTTTCATGAACACACATACTATATGCCTTTGTAACTGTGTAGGGAGAAGGCTTGAGTGTGATAATGATGGGAAATTCAGCTAAGTTGGTACTCTTTCTTTTAGCTCTTCCTCCTCCAAGAAAGACACGTGCTGAGCTCATGAAGGCAATTGATTTTGAATACTACGGTTACCTAGATGAAGATGATGGTGTTATTGTGCCTTTGGAACAGGAATATGAAAAGAAATGTAGGTCTACAGGCATTTCGTTTCATTATATTTGGCATCTGGTTTCTTTCTCTTGAAACTGGGTTTTTAGATAGTGCTTTATGCCAGAAGGGAGTTTTCTTTGTTGCTAATGGTCCTCAGAGGAAATGATCTGCTAATGCCATAACTCCCAGTAACTATGAGGCAGTTAGCATGGTGTTGGGCCAGAAGGAGCATGTTGGAGAAGCTACAGAGGGTCATCTCACCTGCTCCCTGTCCACCAGGATTCCTTCCCAGACTAGCCTTTCTTGAAGTCATGAAGTAGTGCCCACTTAAGGAGATTTAGATCTGCTTTAAACACAGGTAATGGGATATCAGTGTAGAGCAAAATGGGTCTCCCTTTCTGAGAGCTTCCTCCATGACAAGCAAATGCTGAGCCTTTTACGGACATTCTTTTGAAGCCTCATGACAACCCTGTGAAGAATAAGTGCTACTCCCCAGGAGGTGCACTGAACGAGGGCTTTAGAAGCAGGTAGTCAGGAGTTGGAGCCCTTTGCCAGCATGCTATATACAGCATCTCTTTTCACATGGGCATATCAGGAAGTCACCAAGGTTGATGAACTGGGGAGGATCTGAGGATGTTCCCTAAAAAGCTGCCTTGTAGTGACTTAAGTCAGAGCTCTGTGAGACCAGACTGCCCCTCACATCTGATTCCCTTCAACCAGGGCAGAATAAAGGGTGACCCTTTTCTGAGGGAACATCTTGGCTTTGCCCTGCATGATGTTTAAAGCTTATTTAGAAACCAAAGTAACACCTGCTGTCTCTTGTCTTCAGTCAGAGCCCAGTTAGTGGAAAAGTGGAAAGCAGAGAGAGAGGCTCGCCTGGCAAGAGGAGAAAAGGAAGAGGAGGAGGAAGAGGAGGAAGAAATCAACATCTATGCTGTCACGGAGGAGGAGGTACTGGTGGGCAGTGAGGGTCCCTCTGGCGCTCACTTACCTTCTGCTCTGAGTTGTGAAGCCTGGACCTTTTGGGAAGGGTGTCAGTGCAGGTCAAGTTTAGCCACCGCTTTTTGCCTTGCTTGGGGCCTCCTGGTAGGAGCTACAAAGTGCTCTGCAGTTGTGGCTGCTTGAAGGCATTTGGGGGAGGCTATGCTGTGAACCGAGGCCAACTGCCCCTAATGTTGGGCTTTGGACCTTTTGCTGGACACTGTGATATGAGCTGAGGCCAGCTGCCAGTTGTGCTAGGCTTATGGCCACTTATTTGAAGCTACATTTCAAGCTGTGACTGGCTGCCACTTATGCCAGCCTCGGGGACACCTGATGGGAGTTATGGTGCAAGTTGTTGAGACCAGTTGCTGCATATACTCAGTCTGGGACTGCTTACCAAGAGATACAAGGCATGCTGAGGCCAGCCACTGCTTGTTTGGGGTTTATGCATCTTTCAGTGATTTTAAGAAAGTGCTTATGTGGAACAGCTGCTAGAAGAGGCTCAGGCTGGGTGATTGAGTTGAGTGGGGCTGGATCTCAGGGAATCATGGTGGGGAGAACCGTGTTAGCCAGGCTAGATGGGAGGAGGGCTCAACAAGGAAACAATGCTGCCTGCCAACATTTCTGTCCTGGAGAGAACTGCCCTGACTCCTGCCCCTCCAGCACCTGTCCTGAAGCTCGTCTATTTAGTTCCTCCCCATATGTATCTTGCACTTTTCAAGCTGTTGCCCCAGTGCTGGAGCCCAGAGTGAATGAGTTTGTAAGTCCATTTCCAGGCCCCTTAAGAGGAATGCCTCGGTCTCCAGCATTCCTCCGTCTCACTTGGATGAATTTTCTGCTTGTTTCCACAGCCAAATGTTATGGGATTCCTCTTCCTGGCACTGGTGCTCTGGGTTGGGGAGCCTGGTATGGGGGTGGGGCCCCTTGTTCCTCACTGGGGACATCCGCAGTGGAGATATCTCTCTTGATTCTTTTTTTTAAAATATATTTTTATTGATTTCAGAGAGGAAGGAAGAGGGAAAGATAGAAACATTAATGATGAGAGAGAATCATTGATCAGCTGCCTCCTGCACACCCCCTACTGGGGATTGAGCCCACAATCCGGGCATGTGCCCTTGACTGGAATCAAACTGGGGACCTTCAGTCCACAGGCTGATGCTCTATCCACTGAGCCAAACCAACTAGGGCTCTCTTGGTTCTTAATTGCCACACTGTGGGTATGAGACCTGCAGGTTCAGCATCTCTACCCCTCCTACCAGTCTTGACATGACGACTTCTATATAGCTTAGTTATAGGACTTTTGTTCAGTTGGTCTCCAGGTTGTTCTCATGACAGTCTATAATTTAGTTGTAATTTTGATGTGGTAGTGGGAGGACAATACAGCATTTACCTACTCCATCATTTTAACCAAACTTTAAATTTAATTTTTTTTAAATAGATAATAAATTTACAAAGATCAAGAACAAAACAGTATATAAAGATAGTCAACAAAGATTGTCTTTTGCAGCTCTGCCCTCCATCTACCTAGTTCTTGCTGCTGTCACTAGTTTCTATTCTATTTTCTTTCCTACTGCAAAAGTTAGCATAATATAAACAATGTTCTGTTGATTTTTATACTTAACTAGAGGCCTGGTGCACGGATTTGTGCATCGATGGGGTCCCTCAGCCTGGCCTGTGCCCTCTTGCAATCCGGTACCCCTCAGGGGGTGTCATACTGCTGGTTTCCACCTGAAGCCAGCAGTTCGACATCCCCCAAGGCATATAGTAGTGTATGAAGCGGCAGGCGGCTGGGGAGGAGCCTGAGCCTGGGGGGGCGCCGTTCCACTCCCACTCATCCCAGCCCCGCTGCGCCTGCTGCTGCCACTCCATAGCACTGCTGTGGAGGTGGGCGAGGCTTGCGCCCCTACAGCTGCGTTTGCCAACTGTGAGCCCAGTGTCTGGTGCCCGTCAGTCAGCTAAGCGGCGCTCCTGCTATGGGAGCGCACTGACCACCAGGGGGCAGCTCCTGCATTGAGCGTCTGCCCCCTGTGATATACTAGAGGCCTGTTGCACGTGATATACTAGAGGCCTGTTGCACGAAGAGATTCGTGCAATAGGCCTTCCTTCCCCTGGCTGCTGGCACCAGTTTTCCTCCGGCACCTAGGACCCAGGCCTTCACTCCAGCCACAGCGGAGAAGCCAAGCCTCTTCAGTCTTCAGTCTTTGCTCCACACCTGCATATGCAAATTAACTGCCATCTTTGTTGGGTTAATTTGCATGCTCATCCTAATTGGCTGGTGGGCATAGCAGAGTGACACCACTTTGCATGTTTCTCTTTTATTAGTGTAGATAGATGTTGTTTCTGTATGAGTACAGAACTTCCTAATCTCCCCCTCCCCCCCCCACCCCACCCCACCCCCGCCCTTTTAAACAGCTGCAGAGTAGTGCATTTTATAGCACTGCCAATGTTTATTTCATGGTCTCCTACTCACAGACTCTTGGTTGTTCTCTGTTTGTAGTCTGATGAGGAAGGCAGCCAGGAGAAAGGAGGCGAAGATGAGCAGCAGAAGTTCATCGCCCATGTCCCTGTGCCGTCGCAGCAAGAGGTAGGGTGAGCTGCGTTGGAGGTGTAGTTTCCCAGGTGCCAGGGGCCTTGCCTCTAAAGGAGACTCCATTGAGTGCTTCACTGGGTTCTTTTCCCATCTGTCCATAGGAGCAGCTCTGACTCCTGACCACATGGCGCTGGTCACTGTGCTCATAATAGGGGTGGGATCTAGAGAAGGCAGGGTTTTATCTGCTTTAGAGGAAACTGGTAAATATTCTGTTGTTCACATGCTTCCAGTGGGAGAGAAAGGGACCTTCAAGACGCTCTGTGTATTGAGCTCCTCAATGGCCTCCTTCACGGGGACTCCCTCCTGGCTGGGTTCTGGCAGGACATAGAGGGCCTCACTGAGCACTGTTGCCTGAGTCTTTTACCCTTATTCACAGATCGAGGAGGCACTTGTGCGAAGGAAGAAGATGGAACTCCTCCAGAAGTATGCAAGTGAGACCCTGCAGGCCCAGAGCGAAGAGGCCAAAAGACTCATGGGATATTAGGGCTGAGTGAGGGTGCTCCCTGGGTCTGGAAACCTGTCGGGAGTTCTTCAGCCCCAGCTGGCCCTTGCATTAACCTACAGGGTTCTGCTGTCCTGGGACTACAGACTGGCAGGCCAGTGCGGCAAGGCTCCCTGCTACTTCTTACCATTCGTTCTTTTACCTTTTCTTACCTCAGCTATGGTCTCGGGGGAGGAGTCTGTCCCATCCCTCCCTTAAAGGCTGCCTACATGCTATCAGTTTAGCTGTCACCTTTGTACAAATGTTTTGCTACTGTATGAACCCACTTATTTTTATATTGAATGTGTAAAACAGGCTGCTAACTGGCTGCCTGTAAGTGTTTTATTTAACCTTTAACTGCCATTTGGTGGGGAGGGTGATCAGTTAGTGACCACCATTAAAAAAATGAAGTTTTTCCCAACAAGACATTATTTGTAACTCCTCTTGAAAAATGAAATGTGTCAACCCTGAGCCCACATCCCATGTGTCAGTAGCCAGCCAGAGCTGTACCTTTTGGGCCTGGCATAGTTTTCTGTGGCCTGCTCAGCTTGCCTCATTCCCTCCTGCCCAGGTGGCAGGAAATTGAATTTGCTATTTCTGTTTTATGACTGGTTCTGTAGAGAGCTATTTTTTAAAGTTAAAATTTATTTTTTTAAATTAAATTTATTGGGGTGACATTGGTTAATAGAATCATATAGGTTTCAGGTATAGATGTTTATGATACAAGATCTATATGTTGCATTGTGTACCCACAAACCAAAGTCAATCTTCCATCACCATATAAGGCCACTTGAGAGCTATTTTTATTAAAGATTTTTATATGAAGGGGAAACCTCCATGCCTGCAGCTTATTGTTCCCTGGTCTCCCTGTATCAAGGTGATGGTTGCATTAAGCTGAGGTCAGTGGGCAGAGCCAACCTTCCTGTGCCCCCTAAGTGGCCTGGGTGAAAGTACACTGGGATTGCCCAGGAAGCACCAGTTGGATCCAAACCTGCCACCTGAGCTGGGTCTTTTCTTTCCAGTGGGAGAACTGACAGCAGAAGTGCAGCCTCTAGGGCAGTGTCGGGGGGCCTCCCCATATGCAGAGGGGTCCTGGGAGTGTCTGGGAGTCAGTGTCAGGGCCAGGAGATGTTTGGTTCTTCAGGTGAGTCTTGGCTTTTTTGAAGGAAGTGCTGGTGTACCCCAACCCCCACCCAAGCCGCTGGGCAAATGTGTGCAGGGTCCAGGGAGGGGTTGAGGTTGGAGCTCTGGGAGTGGAGGCCTTGGGGCAGAGCAGAGTCAGATTCAGCTCTGGGACCCAGTACCCAGCCCGGGCCTGGCCCGAACTAGGAGGTTCAGGTGCACATTTAGTGGGGGCTTTGAATAAGCCCCTCCAGGTCCCTGGCCTCAGTTTCCCTGCCTTAAAGTCCAGGACTGGACTTGTGAGTTTGACCCGGGGTCTGGGTAGTCCCTGCTGAGGGCAGAGAAAAGGAAGGACCCTTGGCACAGCCTGGCCCACATCAGAGCCTCTGGGATGGGTGTGCAGTGCCCGGCTCAGATGTGGGTTTTTCTTTGAAGGGGCACACATTGGGCTTGGGGCTGCCTTGCATTCACTGAGAGCAGGAAATTCAGACAACCGTGTTTCTTCTCCCTGGAAAAGGTGGTTGGCAAGTGCCTGGAGTGCGGCCCATCTGGAGTTTCCAGGGCTCTGGGCCTTCCTTATTCAGTCAGCAGCCTCTGCCACCGGGGACAGACAGACAGGAGGCCCTGCTCCAGCCCTTCCGGTTACTAAGCTCCTCCCAGCCCAGGATCTCATCTTGGCATCCCCGATGCAGGCAGGACGGGAATTAAGTATCCTCTGTCCTTGGAAACTGAGGCCCCGAGTGGAGAAATGACTTGCCCAAGCGCATACAACTAGTCAGGGCAGGCCTGGACTTTGCATGGAGGTTGTCTGAGCTGTGATGTCAGTTTGTCTCAGAATGAGGCTTGGCACGTGGATGCATGCCACCTGGCTGCCATGAGCAGTCATGCCATGCTCTCTCCATCTCACCCCTGCGGCCAGGAGCAAACCCCATTATCATGGTGGACTCTGGGTTCACAGGATTCCTGGTGCCCGGAGCCAGTTCAGGCCTCAGCAGTGCTTCCAGCTCCTAGGGGCCGAGCCCCTTCTCGGCGCTGCGCTGGGAATAAGCATGAACAAGAAGAGTCTGGCCCTCACGGGGTTCTTAGATTTGACTTGGAATAAGAGCTAAACGTCCTTCCCTGACTACAGAAGTACCTCGCCCGACATCCTGCTGCTTTTCCTGGCAGAGATGGGATCCACCCCAGGCTTCTTCCTGTCCTACAGGTCCTGTCTGCTTGTTTGCCAGAGACCCCAGAAATGGAATCTCTGCAGGGCCCGCACCACAGGCCGGGGACAGCAGGGAAACCTGAGTTGGCTTAGTGGGTGTGACCACTGGTGGGTGTGACCACTGTTGGCCCAGCTCATGCTCTGTCAGGATTCTTTGTTTACCAAACCGGTTTCATGATTTCCATTACCTTTGGTTCTGCCTGAGTTTCCTAAATGGCAGCTTTCTATAGACACATTTCCATGGACTGCCCTCCCCTCCCCTCCCCTCCCCCCATCGGTCTTCTGAGTCTAAAACATCAATCTTCCTTCTGTTTTAAGATTTGTTCTATCAGCCTCACCTAGACTCTCACTTGCACCCTATCCCCTGCACTCTGCCCCCTGACTTCACTTCACATGCCCCTACTTTGGGTAATTTATAAACAAGAGATTAAAAACTTTAAAGAAAAAGATTTTTTTATTATTGATTTTTAGAAAAAGAAGAAGGGAGGGGGAGAGAGAAACATCGATGTAAGAGTGGAACATCAATTGGCTATCTCCTGCACATCCCCAGCAGGGATCTAGCCTGCAAACTAGGCAGGTGCCCTGACTGGGAATCGAACTGGCAAACTTTCAGTGCCTGGGACAACACCCAACCAACTTTCCTCTGCACCATGGGCTGCTGTGAGAGGGATGGCCTACTAATGGAGAATCAAGGTGCTGGTTTTGCTGACTCATCGAATGCCTTACCCCAACTCCATCCCTTACAACTGTCCCATCTTACTGCTTCCTCCCAAAGCCCCTGCTCACATTAACGCAGCAGGATCCCACCTGGAGTCACCAGGTGTTCTCTCACTTCCAGCACGTACTGCTTGGCTAATGAGACAGGTCCACTGGGAGACTACAAGTGGCTCCCTGGCCCTTCAGGCATTTTTACATCTGCTTCCCTCCTGCTTTAACAACCCCCCGCCCCCCCCCCCGGCCCCAACACACACTTCCACCCCCCATAGAGGTAATATCTTCTGTAGGGCTGACCCTGTACTACAGACTTCCTACACAGGGTACTTTTCTACGAGTCACTGAGCCTGGGTTCCCACCTCACTAAGATGAGTGGGACAGGCAGATCTGCTTCCAGGCCTCTGTCTGGGCCCTGTAGAATCCTGTGAAAACTGGTGTGGGGGAAGAAGAAACTTCTCTGCTCTCAAGGTTCTTCTGGCTGATCTACTAATCAAATAGACGTGAGACAGCTTAGCAAAAGAAAATGACCAAATATAATACATACATGTGTATGGGAACCTTGCATACATGATAGACCTCGCATGCAGGAGAGGTTCAGAGATAGAAAGGGAACATGGATGTATATAAGACATCCTGAGCTAGGGGTGAAGTAAGGTACCTTGGGGACTTCAATGAGTCATTGCAGAATGATAACAAAAACACACTTATTGTTTATCGTTTTGTTAATCCTCACCCGAGGATATTTTTCCATTGGCTTTTAGAGAGAGTGAAAGGGAGGGGGAGAGACAGAGAGAGATACATTGATTGGTTGCCTCCTGCACATGTCCTGACTACGGCCAGGGATGAGGTACATGCCTTTGATCAGAATAGAACCCGGGACCCTTCTGTTTGCCAGGCTGACGCTCAATCCACTAGCTAGGGCCAAACCAATTAGGGCCAAAAACAGACATTTAGTAAACAGAAATTTACCCTGACTTCTAGACAGGTCAAAAGAAATTATGTCTGTCCAACCAGTGTGGCTCAGTGGTTGAGCGTCGACCCATGAACCGAGAGCACTGGTTTGATTCCCGTTAGGAGTGTGGGCTCGATCCCAGTGGGGGTTGCACAGGAGGCAGACAGCCTATTGATGATTCTCATCATTGATATTTCTTTCTCTCCCTTCCTCTCTCTCTAAAAATGAATAAAAACATTTTTAAAAAAGAAGGCTGCAGTTCTCTAAAACTTAAAAAAGTTATTGCCCAGCCAGTGTAATTCAGTGGTTGACGTTGCCCTATGAGCCAGGAGGTCGCTGTTCAATTCTAGGTCAGTGGGCTCGATCCCCAGTGTGGGGCATGCGGGAGGCAGCCTACTGAGGATCTCTGTCATCATTGATGTTTCTATCTCTCCCTCTCCATTCCTCTCTGAAATCAATAAAAATGTATTTTAAAAAGTTATTTCTGATAATTTTTATTATGGGCAAGGCCCCTGATTCAAGTTCTAGGTCAGCCGTGGGCAAACTACGGCCCGCGGGCCGGATCCGGCCCGTTTGAAATGAATAAAACTAAAAAAAAAAAAGACCGTACCCTTTTATGTAATGATGTTTACTTTGAATTTATATTAGTTCACACAAACACTCCATCCATGCTTTTGTTCCGGCCCTCCAGTCCAGTTTAAGAACCCATTGTGGCCCTCAAGTCAAAAAGTTTGCCCACCCCTATTCTAGGTAGTTAAAGAGAGGGGCAGAAGTTTCTTATGAGCCTGATGCTAAAATTGTTTTTAGCTCAAAGTAATTATATACCACTGAGTCACATCTTAGGGTGGCTCATTCTGAACCCCCACACTGGCAAATTTGAGCGCTTGGGAAATAGGGGAGGGGCTTTATGACCAGGGACCATATGAGGTAAGGTGAGCCTTGAACGTGCAGTGTTTGGAGGGTCTGGGCTTGTGACTGAAGTCTGAGCAGGGGGTAGCTAGGTAAGAGCACTTCTAGTAGGTCCATTTGGTGTGAGGGTAGGGGTGCTGTGGGGACAACTAGAAGCTGAGGGGAGGAAGCTAGGGCAGTCCTCTGGGGGTGGAGGGGCACTGCTCTGGGTCTGAGGGTAGTAGTCGGGGAGTTGGGGGAGGTTCAAGTAGGGGTGCTGAGAGACAGATAACCCCATATTTTCAGTCAGAGCCTCAAGTGTGAGATGGGTACCATCAACACAAACAGGCATGCTCTCCATCTGGGGAGAACACCCGTGCCATTCCCTTCCTCCTCTACTTCCCCACAGGCATGCATCTCCTAAACTGTAAGGGACCCACAGAGACTTGCAACCAAGGGAACAATAGGCAGTAGTATTTTGTCCCAGGCTAACCCCCCGAATCTATCTCCAAGGCCCCCTTTTCTCTGACCTCCCTTGAGCCAAAGCAGCCCAGCCTAGGTTCTCCTGTTGATTCTACGCTAAGCCCTTTCTGTTTCACTGTCCTGAGTGTACTTTTGCTGCAGCCAATAAATTCTTGCCTGCTTTGCTGCAAAATAACAACCCCGCCGCCCCCCAAAAAAAGAAACCAAAAAAGGAGGGTTGGGGTTCATTTGACTCCTGTTTATGAAGGTTTGGACTTCTGGGAGGGGAGAATGGGATGGCTGTAGTTTTGTTGGCTGTCAGGTGAGGTGAGGACTGCCTGGGAGGGAGACTTCCCAGACCTCAGCCAGCATCAGTCCAGGACAATTAAGTCTACAACTGCTGTGGCATAGTTTGCTTTCTTGATGTTTTTAAATTGTCTAATATTTTGTATCAAGCACTCTTCTATATTAAGAACATGGTGATATCACCCTAACCGGTTTGGCTCAGTGGATAGAGCATCAGCCTGTGGACTCAAGGGTCCCAGGTTCGATTCCGGTCAAGGGCATGTACTTTGGTTGCGGGCACATCCCCAGTAGGGGGTGTGCAGGAGGCAGCTGATCGATGTTTCTCTCTCATTGATGTTTCTAACTCTCTATCCCTCTCCCTTCCTCTCTGTAAAAAAATCAATATATATATATAGTAAAATTTTTTTAAAAAAAGAAGAACACGGTGGTATGTTTGGTGTCTGGTCGTTTTCATGGTGTTTTTTACCTTCATTTCTAATTGGGGGCACATTATCAGAACTAGTGTGGACACCATCAAATAAAACAAAATGGATAATATTGTTAGAGGCTATAATGATGGTGACTGTAGAAAGAAAGAGAAAGCAGAAAGAAAGGAGGGAGGAAGACAGAGAAGGATGGCACTTGTCTCTCTAATCACTTGGGGTTCTGATTCACAGAACATTGGTGTTACAGCACATTCTACAGATGTTACAGCTAGGATAGTGCCACCTTGTGGCAATAGCACAGTTAAAATTGATTCAGCTTACCGGCCTTTAGCTTTAAGGATGTTAAATTCTTTTTTTTTTAAATATATTTTATTGACTTTTTACAGAGAGGAAGGGAGAGGGAAAGAGAGGTAGAAACATCGATGAGAGAGAGAGAAACATCAATCAGCTGCCTCCTGCACACCCTCCACTAGGGATGTGCCTGCAACCAAGGTACATGCCCTTGACCAGAATCGAACCTGGGACCCTTCAGTCCGCAGGCCGACGCTCTACCCACTGAGCCAAACTGGTGAGGGCAGGATGTTAAATTCTTGATACATTTTTTTAAAAATTGAGGTGTGTCATTTCAAATTTTGGTCATTAAGTGAGACATTGCAAATGTTTTTTTGAATTGCTCTATTTTTAAATAAGCATAATTCAATTTCAGATAAAATGCGATTGTGCTATTCAGGAATTTACCACTAAAAGAGAGGAAATGCAGATTCTTTTTTTTTTTTTAACAGCTTTATTGAGATACTAGAGGCTCAGTGCATGAATTCGTGCATGGGTGAGGTCCCTCGGCCTGGCCTGAGATTGGGCCCATCAGGACCAGTCAGGGCATTTGATGGGGGCGGGGGAGGGACCACTGGGGGTTGGCTGTGGGAGCGCACTAACCACCAGGGGGCAGATCCTGCATTGTGTGTCTGTCCCTAAGTGGTCAGTGCACATTATAGCTACCCTCCAGTCGTCAGGGCTTAACGGTCACTTAGGCTTTTATATATATAGACTAGAGGCCTGGTGCACAGATTTGTGCACCAGTAGGGTCCCTTGGCCTGACCTGCGCCCTCTCGCAATCCGGGACCCCTCAGGGGATGTTGGACTGCCGGTTTTGGCCCGATCCCCACAGGCCAGGCTGAGGGACCCCACTGGTGCACGAATCCGTGCACTGGGTCTCTAGTATGCTATAAGATCTTTGGTTAATATCTTCCCGACCTCCCCCCTTCCCCCTTCCCACAGAGATTCATCAGTCTGTTCCATGTTTCCATGCCTGTGCACTGAGCATCTGCCCCCTGGTGGTCAGTGCATATCATAGCTACCAGTTGAACAGTCAAACGGTCACTTAGGCTTTTATATATAGAGATAATTTGTATACCATAAAATTCATCTATTATAAATGTACATTTGAAAGATTTTGATAAATTTTCTGAGTCATACAATACTCATGACAGTCCAGTTTTAGAACATTTCCATCATCCTACAAAAGCAAATGGTGGTTGGGTTCTCTGGCAAAATTTATGCCAACACCAATATGCACTACCCCGTCCCAAACTAATTCCAGGCAAGGCCAATATAAAAACCAACTGGGCTATCTGGCCACTTGTCCATCCCATCCCATTTCACACGTTCAACGTTCCTCCTTCTTCCTTCCTTTCCTCATGCCTCTAAGTCTAATTGGTGACAGCCTTGTCTCATACTGACTCCTAGATTCATCTTTCCCTTCCCCTTCTCCACCCTGTGCCTTGGGTTAGCCACTCTGAGCTGGAGGCAGATGTTTTTCTGGGATTCTGAGTATTGACATGCCCCACCTTCTCAGAGCCATTCCATCTCATCTGCTACTTTTTTTTTTCATCTGCTACTTTTTAAAAAAATATATTTTATTGATTTTTTACAGAGAGGAAGGGAGAGGGATGGAGAGTTAGAAACATTGATGGGAGAGAAACATTGATCAGCTGCCTCCTGCACACCTCCTACTGGGGATGTGCCCGCAACCAAGGTACATGCCCTTGACCGGAATCGAACCTGGGACCTTTCAGTCCGCAGGCCAACGCTCTATCCATTGAGCCAAACCAGTTAGGGCTCATCTGCTACTTTAAAAAAAAAAAAAAAAGAATTTTAAATTGATTTTCAGAGAGAGAGAAACATTAATGTGAGAGCGTACCATCCATTAGCTGCTTTCTGCATGCCTCTTACTGGGGATGGAGCTGGAAACCCTGACTGGAAATAGAACCAGCAACCTTTCAGTACACGGAAGGATGCCCAACAAACTGAGCCACATTGGCCACGGCTACTACTCTTAAAAAAAAAAGTTTTTTAAATTGATTTCAGAGAGGAAGAGAGAGGGAGAGAGAAATAGAAACATCAATGATGAGAGAGAATCATTGATCAGCTGCCTCCTGCTTGCCCCACACTGGGATCGAGCCCACAACCTGGGCATGTGCCCTGACCAGGAGCCAACCATGACCTCCTGGTTCATAGGTCGACGCTCAACCATTGACCCACACTGGCCGGGCCAGAGGGGTTTTTATGAATGACCCGGGCATATGCTCTGACCAGGAATCAAACTGTGACCTCCTGATTTATAGGTTGAAGCTTAACCACTGAGCAACACTGGTTAGGCTGCTACTCCTTTTTTTAAAATATATTTTATTGATTTTTTACAGAGAGGAAGGGAGAGAGATAGAGAGTTAGAAACATCGATGAGAGAGAAACATCGATCAGCTGCCTCCTGCACATCTCCTACTGGGGATGTGCCCACAACCCAGGTACATGCCCTTGACCGGAATCGAACCTGGGACCCTTCAATCTGCAAGCCGACGCTCTATCCACTGAGCCAAACCAGCTTCAGCATGCTACTCCTTTTGAGTGGAGGCTATTTCCTGCTGCTCCCACTGTCTGTGCCTCTGACATACCAGAGCTGTGCTCCAGCATTGCTTTTCCATGGCACTTGAGGGTTGCCTGTCTAGTACTGTTGGTTACTTCCCATGGTAACAGAATTCAAACTCTTCCAGAACAAATAACTCTTCCACCTTCACCATGGGTCTACCTTTGTCTCCTCATCCAGTCTCTTCCCCACTTGGCCAGTAAAGCTGGTGAAGGGTTCTCAGGGGGTATACTAGTCCTGGGGGACTTGTTCTCTGTGGTCTCCTTAAGCTACGAGGAGGCCCTATTCCCCTTTCTATTGGGGAGGGTATGGACTTTTGTCTTCTTCACTGATGTATTCAAGACCCTAGAAGAATACCTGATCCATAGCAGGCATTAATCAAACTTACTGAATTAAATGGAATTGAAAGAGATCAACCAAAGGACTTGTATGCATGCATATAAGCCTAACCAATGGACACAGACACCAGGGGTTGAGGGGATGAGTGTGTGTGGGGGGGTGGGCAATGGGGGGGGATAAGGACACATATGTAATACCTTAATCAATAAAGAAAAAAAGAATAAATGGAATTGGAGTGCTATAGCCCCCTTGTAAGAGTGCTGTATGAAGAGGGCAGGAATGTTCTCAATTCCCTTTCATCTTGATAGCTGGAAAGTGCTTTGGGAAATAGGTTCTATTTGATCTATTTTAAGCTTCTTACAGATGTTTGAATATAATTTCTCTGAGGATCCCTGGTTCACTGGGCCATCCTGGGAGCTGGTTTGTCCAACAGAACTGCCCACAAACCTCCCTTATTCCTCTGCTCAGGCCAATCTTCAGTGCGTTTCAGCTGGGTTAGTTCCCCCATAACACCAGCTGAGCCAACCTATTCTGAGGCATTTGAGCAGCTGTTTCAACCGCTAGGCTTTCTTTTGGGTTTGTGATGTCCCAGCTCCTCTTTCTGGCTTATTTGTCCACCAAGTGAGGTTCCCTAATTCTCCTCGCCCCAGAGTTCTGGGAGGTCATCTTGAGCCAAAGCTTTCGGGTGCCTCTCCACAAGGATTCTGGCCTCCTTCCCAGTTTTGTAGCCAGCTTAATTTCTTAGACTTCTCCTTTATCTTTTTTAGTGTGCTGCCAGGTCTTTTCCTTCTTCAGCGTGGGAAAATGCTTCCTTCCATCCCATCTTCTGTTAGAGGGATTCTGCATCATTTGCCCTGTTAGTGTGAACACTAAGATGACACTGCTGTGGTTGTCCACTCCCCTAGTGAACACTCGAGAGGAGGACATTCTGGGTCCAAGTGCTGGGTCAACAGGCCCAGAGTCCCCACCATTCCCATGAGCCTGCTTCTGACTGGGGAAGAGCAGCAGGCAAGCGACCCCAGACAGGCTGGCCAGGCCTGTGGAACAGGGAGGAAGGACGGGAGACACTGGACAGCATCTGGGGTCTGGGATGTAGAGTAGCTTAGCTAAGGAAGGGTCTGAGGTGGGCGGTGTGGAGCGCGGAATAAATAGGTGGAGGGGGCGTGGCGAGTGCTGGGGCGGTGCCGAGGATGAATAGAAATGTGGGTGATGCTGGGCTAGGTGTTGAGGGCGGAGTCGGGATGTGGGCGGATCTGGGGGCGGAGCCAGGCGGGGCGGAGCTGTGGGCGGGCCTGGCAGGGGAGGAGCCGTGGGCGGTCCTGAGGATGAAGCCTGGCAGGGGAGGAGCTGTGGGCGGTGCTGAGGGCGGAGCCTGGCGGGGGAGGAGCTGCGGCGGTGCTGACCTTTTTTTTCCGGGGAGGAGCTGCGGGCGGACCTGGGGGGCGGAGCCTGGTATTGGAGGAGCTGTGGGCGGAGCCTGGCAGGGGAGGAGCTGTGGGCGGTGCTGAGGGTGAAGCCCGGGCAGGGGAGGAGCTGTGGGCGGTGCTGCGGGCGGAGCCTGGCGGGGGAGAAGCTGCGGGCGGTGTTGAGGGCGGAGCCTGGCGGGGGAGGAGCTGTGGGCGGTGCTGAGGGTGAAGCCCGGGCAGGGGAGGAGCTGTGGGCGGAGCCCGGGCAGGGGAGGAGCTGTGGGCGGTCCTGAGGGTGAAGCCCGGGCAGGGGAGGAGCTGTGGGCGGTCTGAGGGCGGAGCCTGGCGGGGGAGGAGCTGTGGGCGGTGCTGAGGGCCGACCTGAGGGCCGGACTGGCCTGAACCGTGGGCCAGCGGCGCGCTTCGCAGATTCCGGATTAGGAGAGTTGGGGCGGAGCGGGGCCGGCGGGCTTCGGGCTGGCCGGGGCGGGGCGGAGGGCCGGCCCGGGCGGACCGGGGCCGGTGTTCCGCGGCGCCCCAGCTTCAGGTGTTGGGGCGGCTCCACGTCGCCGGGCGCCTGTGGCTTCCGTGAACCCAGGCCGCCCCCAGCGTCCGGAGTGCCGGCCCTCGGCTCCCGCGAAGCCATGGCAGGGCCGGGCCCGGGGGACCCAGACGAGCAGTACGATTTCCTGTTCAAACTGGTGCTGGTGGGCGACGCGAGCGTGGGCAAGACGTGCGTGGTGCAGCGCTTCAAGACCGGCGTCTTCTCGGAGCGCCAGAGCAGCACCATCGGCGTGGACTTCACCATGAAGACGCTGGAGATCCAGGGCAAGCGGGTCAAGGTGGAGGCCCGGCCTGGGGTCCCGGGCCGGGGGCCTGGCCCTCTTGGTCACTGCGCAGCCGGGCTCCGACGTGCACTGGGTTGGCCAGTGCCCGGCAGTCTCCCTCAGCGGGGCGGGATTGCTCTGTCCCCTCGGTACCTAGCGTCCAGGACAGTTCGGAGGTGTCTGCCAAACCCCTTTCGCTTTTCCTTTTCCCTCCTCCCGGGGGGGGGAGGGCGGGCCTGGGCCTTGGGGTCTGAGCCCGGTGCCGTCCGCACAGCGCCTGCCTCGGGGTGTGTGTGTGAGTCTGTGTGTGTCCGGGGGGAGTGGGGAGGAGACTCTGCCCTCGCGAACTCACAGCCTTTACTTTGCTCCAAAATCATGGGGAGGCAGCGGAGCGCCTCGGTGCCGGGCCGGGGGCCTGGTGGACGCCGGGCTGGCCCGACCCGTGCCCCCCGCGGTGGAAGCCGAGCTCGGCCCGCGGGTGGCGAACGCAGCGCGAAAACGACGCCCGCCCGCGGCTAGGAGCGATCAGGAAGTAGTTGCCTCTAGGACCCGAGGGCCCAAACTTTGGGTCAGAATTTCCGGCCTGGCCACGCCTCTCTGGTCTCTTTGTGGACTCGCTGGTGGAACTTTACTCGTCCACGGCCGGCGCTGGTCCCCTCCCCCAGCTGGAGTTTATAGAAACTGAAAATTTCGCAGATACCGGAAGGTAGGGCTGAGGACCCGTCTTTGGCAATGACTCGGAATAGAAACAGCAGGATGTAGTTGCCACAGTGCCCTGGCAGTTGTTTGATAAATAATATTTGTGATTATGAATCAAAATTTCTTAACCTGGTGTCAGCCCTCTCGGACAAAGCATTGTTCTTTCTCGCTCAGGAACTTTACTTAACTTGGCTGTACAGAAATCCTTTTCCTTCTTTCACGGTTTTGAGTTCACATGATCTCCAGGACAACTTTTTTATTTTTTTCTTTAAATTGTGATTATCTTTTACTTTATTAATTTTAGAGAGGGGAAAAGAGAGAGACAGAGAAACATCGACCTGTTGTTCCACTTATCTTTGCATTCATTGGTTAATTCTTTTTTAAAAAATATATTTGTATTGATTTCATTTATTTTTTATTTTTTTTATATATTTTATTGATTTTTTACATAGAGGAAGGGAGAGGGATAGAGAGTTTGAGACATTGATCAGCTGCCTCCTGCACACCCCCTACTGGGGATGTGCCTGCAACCAAGGTACATGCCCTTGACCGGAATCGAACCTGGGACCCTTCAGTCTGCAGGCCAACGGTCTATCCACTGAGCCAAACCAGTTAGGGCTGTATTGATTTCAGAGAGGGAGGGAGAGATAGAAGCATCAATGATTAGAGAGAAGCTTTTATCGGCAGCACGCCCCACACTGGGGATGGAGCCCGAAACGCAAGCATGTGCCCTGACCAGGAATTGAACTGTGCCCTCCTGGTTCATAGGTTGTCGCTCAACCACTGAGCCACACCTGCGGGGTTCCAGGACAACTCTTAAGAGCACTGGGCAGGGGCAGTACAGGGCAAGTGTTATCTCTGTGTTCTTGAGAAGCTGAGCCAGGGTATTGGAGTTGTTGAGTCCTGATGCTGGGGACTCTGCCTCCTTGGTCTGCTGTAGTCAGCTCATGGTTGCCTTTGGCCCAGATACTTAGCTCTTTGTTCCTGCAAAAGTTGGATAATTTCTCAGTGTTGCCTCCCTCCTGCCCCTTCAAGGACAAAAAGTAAGCCAATAGCCTTTACATGACCACAGTGCATCTAGAGTCGATGAGACAGTGGAAGCAGAAACTACCTGCCTGAGGTTTTTATTTTTTTATGTTTTATTCTCACATGAGGACATTCATTGATTTTTAGAAAGGGGAAAGGAGAGGGAGAAAGGAGAGAGAAAGAAGAGAGAAAAAGAGAAAGAAAAGAAACATCGATTTGCTTCCTTTAAGTGCCCGGACCTGGGATTGAACCCACAACCCAGTGCCCTGACTGAGAATTGAACTGGCAACGTTTTGGTGTGCAGGGACCAAGGCTCCAACCAAGGCTCCACACCGGCCAGGCCTGAAGATTTTTTATTTTTTTAAATATATATTTTAAAAATATATTTTTATTGGTTTTAGAGAGGAAGGGAGAGGGAGAGAGAGAAACATCAATGTTGAGGTCTGCTGCCTCCTCTGGCCCCCTATTGGTGATTGAGCCTGCAATCCAGGCATGTGCCCTGACAGGGAACGGTGACCTCCTGATTTGTAGGTTGATGCTCAACCACTGAGCCACACCGGTCAGGCTGAGGGTTTTTTTGTTTGTTTTATTTTGCTTTAAATAGTCTTTTGGGTTTCTGTGTGTTTTTGGTCTCCTTGGAACAGAAGGGAAAAAAAGCAAGGTGTGGCAGGCAGCATTGAGTCATTACTTGGGACCACCCCTTTTAGAGCTAACAGGTGGCCAGGAAAGGGCTGTGGAATATATCCATGGGCAAGTTTGTGCCCTGTAACCAGAAGCCACAGGGAAAGTGGAGTATTAAAATATAGGCACAGCCGAAACCGGTTTGGCTCAGTGGATAGAGCGTCGGCCTGCGGACTGAAGGGTCCCAGGTTCGATTCCGGTCAAGGGCATGTACCTTGGTTGCAGGCACATTCCCAGTAGGAGATGTGCAGGAGGCAGCTGATCGATGTTTCTCTCTCATCGATGTTTCTAACTCTCTATCCTTCTCCCTTCCTCTCTGTAAAAAATCAATAAAATATATTTTAAAAAAATATATAGGCACGGGGGGGGGGAGGTTGGGGGTTAAGGGGGGGCGATGAGGACACATTTGTAGTACCTTAACTAATAAAAAAAATAAAAAATTAAAATAAAATAAAATAAAATATAGGCATAATCAGCAGTGGCGCTCTTGCAAGCCGTAAGCCTGCTCCTACTCCAGTGTTTGTGGTGGCCCGTGCTGAAGGTGGTCAAGGAGGGGGCGGGGTGTTCCTGTTTATCCGGCAAGATAACAACCTGTGCCCCTTTGGAGCCCAGGGTGTACTGTGAACCAGAGCACAGGTTATGCAATGCAGAGCAGGCAGTTCATTATTTCTTTTCCTTATGGTCACCTCCAGATTTTTCTTAGGAAGCAGCCAGTTGGGACTGGGAATAGGACAACAGTGTAGAATCATTGCCCTTCTTGAGAGTTTGTTTGCCAGCTGTTTTACAGATGTGCTCTTATTAACCCCCTGCCACACAGGACACACTTGCACCAGAGCACACAGCTACTGAGTGACAGAGGTTGGAATTTTTCTTCCAGTTTTTCTGATTCCAAAGCACTGAGATCTTTCTCCTCCTCCTTAGAATCTGATTGTTGGAAGTGGGAGAGCCTTTGACGGTTATTTACCTCCTCATTTTGCAGTCAGAGAAATCTGAAGCCCAGCACACTGAAGAGGCTCTGAATTAAAACTGAGCGGTAGTGGGTGAGGGACAGTCTCTGAAGTCAGGCTTTCTGGGCTCTCCTGACTCATCAGGAACCAGTCATCTTTCCTCTCAGAGACTGTTTTCTCATCTGTAAAATAACGGTGAGGTGTCTTCCAGCAATGTAATTGAAAAACACAGGGTTATTGAGGTTTAATTTACACACAGTAAACTTCACACCCAATTTTAGGTGTATAGTTCTGTGAACTTTGACAAACATATACAGTCCTGTAACCACAGCCACAATCAAGGTCTAGAATACTTCCATCAATCCAGAAGGTTCCCTTGTATCCTTTTGTGTTATTGTCTCCCTTCTCCCCAGCCCTGGCAAACACTGATCTGTTTTCTGCCCCTATAGTTTCATCAATGTGATTTTAACGGGAACCTTTGGTGAACAGAAGCATGTCCACGTCAGGGATTTAGTTTTAGAACCTTTCCAGGTTCTGTCCGGGGTCCAACAAGCATCCGGTGTGATCTCCTGGAATGCTGGCTTTTGCTCGATTTAAGCTTAAGGAACCTTAGAGATAGATCACCTAGTGGTTTTCCAGCTCCTCCAAGCTCCAGTGCTTGAGGATATGGTGGGGCAAAGGGGGAAGGTCAAGAGACCACAGGTTCAGAAGAGCCTTAACGAACTTCTCACACAGCCAGAAAAATACTAATTTTAGTTAGTTTTATATTGCGGTCCCACTTGTTTTCATTTGACTAAAAAGTTCTGCTAAAAAATAAAAAGTTTGAGACATCACAGATATAATTGAACACCTTTGTTTTTATAGTCACTTCCTATTGGATCCAGAATAACATTCAAACTCCTTACCTGAAGAAATGGGCCACTGCCTGCCTTGCGGACTTCATTTATCCCCTGTGCCCCTCACTCAGAAATCTCCAGCCCCACTAGCTTTTTCTATTCTTCAACCATACTTGCCTCAGGCCTTTTATGTTTTTTCCCCTGCCTGTCACACTCTGTCCCAAGGGGCTCCGCTTCATCATTTAGTTTCCACTGAGAATGCCTCCTATTCAGAGAGCCCTTCCCTGGCCTCCTACCCCCCCTTTTTTATTATGGGATAAGTTTAAGGATAAGTTCATAGCACTTACCAAGACTTGAAATTATTTTGGTGTTGGTCTCCCCCTGTACAATTTTAGCTTCTTGAAAGCTCAGGGATCCAGTCTGCCTTGTGTAATCAGTGAATCCCTACACCTACAACAGTGCTCAATACATATCTGTTAATAATTTTTATATTGAGGAAGCTGAGGCCAAAATACAAAAGTGAAGTGACCAACATGCCCAAGGCCACATGCAAGTCAGTGGTAAAACCAGGATTTGAACCCAGTCAGGCTGGCTTCTAAGCCCAATGTTTTTTTTACACTTGACCACCCTTCTGAGTCCCTTTGTGTTCATAATGATAATCCTGAGATCTTGCAAGTTAATGAATCTAGTAAAAGTGCAGTTGTGGCCACCACACTTTGAGAAAAGAATGTGAATGTGGGCATTTTATAGATTTTCAATTATGAAGATTGAAATCCCAAAGAATTTCAGGGTAAACAGATGTTCAGCTAACAGAACATCCAGCCAG